TTTCATTCAAACTTTGAGGCCCATCTGAGTGAAATGTTGGAGATGGAAGTAGAAAAGAATTATAGGTAGGCCATTGATTATATTAAGGTGTAGTTTGCTTCATCATTGGGATGATAAAAATGTCAAAATGATATTTGCAAGACCGCCTACTACCTCATAGTTCCCTACGTCCGGTTAGATCCCACAGGCTGGGCCTCCTTCAGGCCCCGTCGGCCAAGCACTGCCATTTGGCAGGGCCACGGAGGAAGGCCTTCTCTGTAATGGTGCCCATGCTTTGGAACCAGCTCCCCCCGGAGATTAGGACCACTCCCACCCTGTTGGTCTTCCGTAAGCTACTTAAGACCTGGCTTTCCCGGCAGGCCTGGGGTTTATAAAACCTGGATGACTGTCTTTGCACTGTTTGTTTTGTTATGTTTTATGTGTTTTTTATTGTTAGCCACCCAGAGTCCTTCGGGAGTGGGGCGGCTTATAAATTTTAATAATAATAATAATAATAATAATAATAATAATAATAATAATAATAATTTTGTACAACAAAATATCCCCACAATCTTTTGCGGCCAAAAACCAAATTCCTTGAGTGATGGATGAGATATCACATCTCAAACAACAGGTAGATCTAGTACATTAAAATTAAAAGCATTTGTGACAATTAATATGTGTATTCCTGTCATAATATGTATATTCTGGCCATAATAACCATTCTATATCCTTTTAGAAGCTCAAAGTGTATTGAAGAACTTTCATGGGAAATTCAAGGACCCAGTTTGAATAGATGAGTCAGGGGATTTTTTAACTGAACATGCTGTGTAACCCTAAGGAGATAAATTTTTATAAAAAGTAAAAATATACATTTGTGTGCCTAAGTTTTGAACTGTAGTCTTGGAATTTTATTCTCTTAATCTTATCAGTAACTCACTGTTTGTTGCTCAATCCTCAGGCAAAGAAGTTTTCCCCTGATTTTTCAACAGTTCGGTTTTTTTAGCAGCCTAATTATTAGATTACAATTTGCCTTCAATCACCCAACTTTTTCTATATTCCATTCATTTTCCAATCACTCATCTTCCAACAATAAAGTAACATAAATTCCTTGATAAAGCACAGATGAGTTCTGCTCTCTACCTTAAATTTTACATTCTAGAGAATTATGAAAGAATCCTCCAAATTGAAAAAATATCTTAGAAACCCAGACAAAAAATAAAATAAAATGCAGGCAACGATTTAAAAAGTATAGGATTATCCTTAAAAATAATGATATCACCGGTAATGCTTCTTTGCTAGGACATGGAGTTTCCTCAGGTACCCTTTAGATTAGCTGGTTATAGGCCATTTCTATATTGAGAGACAGCGCATTTGCAAATGCTACTTGTTTCTTATAATTTATTTTCTACCTGTCTCAGAAGGTTCGCAATACACAATTCTCTTAGATAGATGCACTGAGAGCAAAAGTCATCTAAAGACTTTCTACAGTTAAATGTAGACATGATTTTTTTTCTTGCTTCTAATCCAATTTTCTAAACACTACATCACATTGATTCTTACGTATTACTAATTATTGAAATATTAATCTCTAGACACCAGTGGTGGGGAAGACTTGCCCTGATCATTGACAAAGAAGAAGACTCTTGTTGGCTATTGATGGTTAAAAAAAAAGAGTGCAGAACGAATCAACAAGCTTTTTGGTATAATCCAAGAGCTTGTTAAGAGGGTTCTTTGTATTTTATTTGAGACCATATTTATTTACTTGATTTTATATTATTTGCCTGTCACCTTTGTGAGATTCTGAGAGTGTCTCACAACAATAAAACCTCTTAATAAAAAAAAAAACAATTATATTGCTATTATGGTAGGAATTATCTTAATGCATTGCAAATTCCCTACCACTATTGTGTCTAGCGAATGCCTTATTTTTCAATAGTATAATAATAATACTAGTAGTAAAGTTGGAAGGGACCTTGGAGGTCATCTAGTCGAACCCCCTGCTCAGGCATTTATACCATTATACCATTTCGGACAAATGGCTGTTCAGTGTCTTCTTAAAAACTTCCAGTGTTGCAGCATTCACCGCTTGTGGAGGCAGGTTGTTCCACTGGTTAATTGTTCTGTTAGGAAGTTTCTCCTTAGTTCTAGGTTGCTTCTCTCCTTGCTTAGTTTCCACCCGTTGCTTCTTGTCCTGCCTTCAGGCACCTTGGAGAATAGCTTGACTCCCTCTTCTTTGTGGCAGCCCCTGAGATATTGGAACACTGCTATCATGTCCCCCCTCGTCCTTCTCTTCCTTAAACTAGACATACCCAATTCCAGCAGCCGTTCCTTATATGCTTTAGCCTCCAGTCCCCTAATCATCTTTGTTGCTCTTCTCTGTACTCTTTCTAGAGTCTCAACATCTTTTTTACATCGTGGTGACCAAAACTGGATGCAGTATTCCAAGTGTGGCCTTACCAAGGCATTGAAGAGTGGTATTAATACTTCACGTGATTTTGATTCTATCCCTCTGTTAATGCAGCCTAGCACTGTGTTGGCCTTTTTGGCAGCTGCAGCACACTGCTGGCTCATATTTAGGTGACTGTCCACCAGGACTCCGAGGTCTCTTTCACAGTTACTACTATTGAACAAGGTACCCCCTATACTATACCTATGCATTTGGTTTTTCTTTCCTAAATGTAGAACCTTGCTTTTTTCACCATTGAATTTCATTTTGTTAGATAATGCCCAGTGTTCAAGTCTGTCCAGATCCTTCTGTATCTTAAACCTGTCTTCTGGAGTGTTGGCTATTCCTGCCAGCTTGGTGTCGTCTACAAATTTGATGAGTTCCCCATCTATCCCCTCATCCAAATCATTGATGAAGATGTTGAAGAGCACTGGGCCCAGAACAGAACCCTGGGGCGCCCCACTACACACTTGCTCCCATGTAGATGCGGTTCCATTGAGGACCACACGCTGAGTACGGCCGGTCAGTAAGCTACAGATCCATCTGGTGGTGATGCTTTCTACCCCACAAGTAGTAGGTTGTGATCTACTTTATCAAATGCCTTACTGAAGTCCAAATAAATTATGTGTCAACACTGCAAATACTGTATATTCTTGCTTTGATAATATGCAGAACTGTCTGGTATTTTTAGAGTTAATGCAGAGCAGAAGAGGGTGGAGGGAAAAGCCCGGGAAAGAGAGAGGAAGGAAACCTTTGACCTTCACACTAATTGGATAATGTGATATATGACAGCTAATTTAGGGAGGGAACATTCTGATAATTTAATTGCTCAGGCAAAGAGAATTTAGATCTTGGCATACCTCCGTTATGCCTGTGCCGACATTTTGTAACAATAAATGACTTTTAGGAAAATATGCCTGGAAGTTCTTTGAAGTGTTCATTAGCCGGAACCATAATATCATGTCCACAGCATTCCTCTGATCCACTAATTTTGTCACTTGGTAAAAGAATGCAATAAGATTTGTATGGCATGATCTATTTTTGACAAACCCATGTTGGCTTTTAGTAATGACTTTGTTTGCCTCTAGGTGTTTGCTGATTCATTGTTTGATCATCTTTTCCAGGATATTCCCAGGTATTGAGGTCAGGCTGAGAGGTGTGTAATTTTCTGGGTCCATTTTTTTCCTTTTTTGTAGATGGGAACTACATCAGCTCTTTTCCAGTCCTCTGGTAGTTCCCCTGTGCTCCAGGATCTTTGAAAAATATAGTTCAGTGGTTCTAAGATCCCATCTGCCAGTTCCTTGAGAACCTTGGGGTGTAATCCATCTGGTCCTGGCGATTTGAACTAGTCTAGGCTGGACAGGTGCTCACTTACCATTTTCTTGCCTATCTTAACTTGTGTTTCTGTTCTGTTTTTTATGGCACTATTTTTGATAGGTTGGTCTGTTTTTTCCCTTTGTGTAAAGACAGATGCAAAAAATGAGTTAAATAGTTCTGCTTTCTCCCTGTTGCTTGTCACCTTCTTGCCACTTTCACCCATTAATGGACCAATCATTTCCTTCACTTTTTTCTTGTTTTTTACATTGAAAGAATGTAAAATGTTGAAAGAATGTTGAAAGAAGCTTTTTTTGTTATTTTTGACTTTGGTCGCAAGCCTTAGTTCATTTTGAGCCTTGGCTTTCCTCACTTCATCTTGGAGGCTCGGGCTATTTGCTGATATTCTGACTTAGTTATGTGCCCCTCTTTCCACTTTCTATACTTGTCCTTTTTATCTTTAAATTTGTCAGAGAGTTCTTTATGCAGCCATGCTGGTTTCTTTTGAGAGCTGTTATTTTTCCTCTTTGTTGGTATTGTGCTAGACTGGATTTTTATTATCTCATTTTTCAAAATTTCCCAAGCTTCTTGAGTTGTTTTCCCCTGGAGGATTCTCATCCATGGAATTCTTCCCAAGCCCTCTCTAAGTTTATTGAAATTAGCTCTCTTGAAGTCCAAGACTCTAGTTTGACTGTGTTCTATTGCTTGTGCTACCATAATGAATTCCAATATTGCATGATCACTTCCTCCCAGGGTTCCTATGGCTTCAACACCTTCTATCATTTCATTTCTGTTAGTGAGAATTAGATCCAAAATGGCTAATCCCCTAGTTCCTTTCTCTACTTTTTGGGAGACAAAGTTGTCTGCTAGGTTTGCCAGGAACCTGTTTGATCATTTCTGTTCCTGGTTAAAAATGCAACTAAAGTGTGCTTAAGTTGTATTTACAACTCAGAGGCAATACACTCTCCTCTGATCTTCTGTAACAAGAAAGCCAACATTATGTATCTATAGCCAGGGAAAGAATCCTCTTTCAGAGTTGTGGACATAAATCCCCTTTTTTGTGATTCCTAGACCCAGCAGACTTTGTCCAGCCAGAATTCACAATTTTAGTTGGAAACAAAAGAAATATAAGATGTATACTATCGGTTCCTTTTAACAACCTAAAATCAAATATTCAACACATTTACAATTCCTTGAAAATGTATTATTTTTATTAAAATAATTAAAACCCAACAACTGCATATCAGCAAACTATGGGATCTAATGTGTTTTATTATTATTCACTTTTTATTCTTCTAGTAGATTTACACCAATTCGCTATCTCTCTTCCATTCTTGTCAATGGGCGGTTAACCTGTACAGGAAAAAAAAATTGCATTGATAATATTTAGGGCTAGTGTGTGCTAAATTATTACTATCCATCTAGGTAAAAAGACATAGTACAAGTGCCATGAACCTATATAAATCAGAAGGACACAAGCATACACCGGATGTGGAGGGATACAGTGGATGTTCAGATCATTAACAACAAAGCACATTGTTTTAAGGGTCATTAGCCATAAAGCATGGCATTTCAATTTTGAACCTTTTCCCCAACATAAAGTGTAAGTAAGAAAACGAAGGTAATATGCCTTTTGTGGTTAAATTTCCAATGGAAATATTTTGCATAGTGGCCATTGACATATCATGTTTGCAGAACAGTGACTGACAAGAGTTAAATTCAAAACATGTAGTCATTTTCTAATGTGTGGGACTTATTATTTTCCTTTTCCCTTTTCTGTGATTGAAGGAAAACTGTTTAGATGTTTGTTTCCAAAACGGCATCTGTCAGTAATCAAAGGAGGAAAAATTGCATAAAACAAATGCAATTGTTTAGAGCAGCATTTCCTGGATCATGTTAAATGCTTGATTTGCTCCCCATTATGTTCACCAAATAATTTTGTTTTCCACAATAATTGTAATATTTAACATGTTGCATTTAATCTTCTTTCAAGGCTATTAGTAACAGCTCACTTAGAAAAGAACTCGTGGCTCAACAAGAATAGATTCACTGCCACCCACATCACAGAGAAAAATGGTAAAGTTAATGGCACCCTAATTGTTCTGGATCGAAAGCACAGCTATTTAACAGCTCTAGTTCTTTATTTGACTTCCAACTACTGTATGTTTAGAATGAAGAGAATTCATATTCATTCTGAATTTTGTTCTCCAGCAATCAATGCGGGTATTTTATGTGCTTTTCATGGTTAATTTATAGTGAGGTATAGCTTCCATGTTGGGTCCAAAGATCTATGAGTTATGAACATCATAAAGACAATAAATAGAACAGGTGTCAGTCAATATAAGATCATATAAGCCTGTGTCAGCCTCTGGAAGTAATCATATAACTGTGGTCCATTTTTATTCATTTGCATTTTAATAAAAGATAAAAAAGTAACGTAGGTCAGTTACATTCAGTTAGTAATCAAAAGCGCTAGCCATTGTAGAGAAGGACAGATATCTGATCTGATAGTGTTTAAATGCTGATTGTTGCATAATAGTCTTACTTACTTAACAATTCTGTGAAGGCCTTGAAGATCATCAAGTAACCTATTGAAGAAAGGACAAGTCATTTTAATCAAGCTGAATTCAACCCAGGAGAAGGTTCAGTCCATCAATCAGAAGGCTCACTGTGACAATATTTATCTTTTTCTAATGTTTATTTTCTTCTTTGGCTCTGAGTACAATTTTGATATTCCTTTGAAAAGGAGTTGACACTCAATATACAAAGCATAATGAGACGTCAGGCACCTGTGTTACTGATTTTAGAATGTATATACACACCAAACATATCTATGAATCTGTGTTATACACAAAGAGATATGTACATGCATGCAAGCTAACTATGTCCACATTTGATTATATCAAAAGAAGTAAGACATTTCTAAAAAGCATCAATTTCTTTGAAATAAAATAAAATGTAATCCTTTAGCCCTGTACAGCTACAAGAGCTGGCTAGAAACGAATTGCTTCTGATAATATGATGTGAGTCAATAGTTAGAAGGAAATGTGTTTGAAGAATGTAAAGTATTAGAATTTTAAATCCTTCTATAGTATCTCATACTAACAATTCTGCAAATATTCACTGTTAAGAGTATTCTTACTCACAAAGTCACAGTGGTGGAATATCCTTTCTTTATTTGGCAAAAAGAACAAAAGATTAAACCATTTAAAAATTGGATAATCAATTTCCCTTTAATGAAATAATTAAGATAAATCCTGTGTTAATAAAGAGTACAGCACAGGACATTCAGTCTTTTCAGATCTTTACTTCTATAATGTATCCTCATATCATCTCCCTGTGTATCTGACTGAGAAATGTGCAACTAAAAGGAAAAAAAGTATTTTGATCATTCATATATGCAACTTTATGACAATAACATTCAACTCTACATTTATGCACATTTCCTGCAAAGTAAATAATGTTGAACTTGTGGGGGCACACTTCCTAATAAACATGGAATATAACTGAGCGGCTGCTAAAAATATATAGGAATGCAAATTACATGGTTGGCATTTTCCTTGGCATTCCAGAGATTCAATAGGAATAATCCTTTGATTTCACATTGTTGCTAGGATTGCACAAGTTCTTTTAATATTTAGGAATGGTATCATATAATTTAGTAGCACAGGAAATGCATCTTTATAAAACATCCTACAAACAAAAGTGACAAACTTTGTCATCTTCAGTAAACAAATGAAATAAATATGATTTTCTTTACTGCAATTCCTTAGAAAAAAAATATTTGATTTCATGGAAATTAAGGTCTGTAGCATGCTATTTATTATGTGATTATATTTAAAAGTATATATCATTTGGCGTTTGGTATTCAAATCATGTAAAAAAATCAAGAAGGAAGGAGAAGGAGAAGGAGGAGAAGGAGAAGGAGAAGAAGAAGAAGAAGAAGAAGAAGAAGAAGAAGAAGAAGAAGAAGAAGAAGAAGAAGAAGAAGAAGAAGAAGAAGAAGAAGAAGAAGAATAAGAAGAAGAAGAAGAATAATAAGAAGAAGAAGAAGAAGAAGAAGAAGAAGAAGAAGAAGAAGAAGAAGAAGAAGAAGAAGAAGAAGAAGAAGAAGAAGAAGAAGAATTTTTTTACATAAGACATTTTTAATATTTTAATATTATGGAAGATAGTACCTTTATAATTACTAAGAAAAAATAACAATCCTCAGTTACTCAGATCTGCATTCTCTTTATTTCTTAAAATGATTACCTACCAAATTGTACATAATGCCCAAAAAATTAAATTAAGTTAAATTAAATTACATTAAATTGAAACCTTCATTCTAGTCCCCCGTCTTCCTCCTGCACTCTGATCACATTCATGGGAAAAGTAGCTGTGATAAACAGATACTGAATCAGTCTTGAAATTCTTTTTTTGGAGGGGAAAAAAAAAAGCACACGTCCAAAACATTGCATGATAGTCTTTAAGCAGTTCCATCTGTCAAGCAGAAATTTTAGGCTAATAGCCTGTGGCAATCTCCCTCTGCAGTCCACTACCTGCTTTTGTCAAACTAAGTCTCTGTTCCATTTTTTTTAAGGGGGGGGAGGGAAAAAAAACGAAAGGGGAAAAACTTTGTAAACCAAAATCATCTGAGTGATGAAACTCTAATTTTACCCTCCTCTCTTTGATGTTAAGCGGTGGCTTCTTACTTTAAAAAAGAGAGGGAGAGAGAGAGAGAAAAGAAGGAGGGGGAGACAGAGAGAGACAGAGAGAGAGAGAGAGAGAGAGAGAGAGAGAGAGGAGAAGACAGCAAGGCTAGAAGCAGATGACTTTTCATCCCCATTTCACCTTGCCACTGAGTCTGTGAGAGATTGGTTCACTGTCAAGGAGATTTTTTTTTACCCATGATTCCATATGGTATGGACCGGGCTACATGTTGCCCAACATGCCAGTGCAAGTGTTTTCTCAATTAGGTGTCTTATCTCCCGTGAGTTAGCATCAGATGAAGCTTGCTGACAGCATAATGGCAGGGAAAACCTCCGACGGATCCATCAAATGGCAGCTCTGCTATGACATCTCGGCCAGAACTTGGTGGATGGTGAGTTGGCAGCGCGGCTGCCTTTTTCTTCCCCCTCCTTCCTTTTTCTACTTTCCCTCCCTCTTTGACAAAATGTCCCAGACCTCACATTTATCAAATTAACATTTGATTTTTTTTTCACACTCTTCATTGGAGCAGTCTTCCACTTGTCCCACTAGTGTGTTTTCCCCTTCTGTAACACGAGACCGTTCATGTGCACTGCAGTTGAAGACAGTGGCAGCTTTCCCCCACTCAGGCTTGCTTCCCTGCACTATTTCTTGCTAAACCTAGCTGGATAGGTAGCTTGACAAAGTTTTCGTTTACAAAAGCCACTCTTTCCCCCATTGAGCTGTTGTGCTGTTGTTGAACTTTGGTGTTGCAGATTTTGCTCTGTCTCTGCCTATGAACATGTGGTTGCATAGGTAGAAATATAAATAGAGTGTATATATTTTATATTTGTTGGACAAAATTGAAGCTATTGCAAGCTATCTCAATATTAAGTAGGGGAAAAGCTCTGTTGGCATTTTTTTATGGAACAGGACATTTGATGGCACGGATGTTATCTCAATAGAAGGAGCTGGTCTAATGTTTTCTTTTATTTGTTAGTGTTAGAAGAGATTCCTGTCCGGTTATGTTCAGGAGGTGGATGTTGTAGAGACCCCACTTGAATTTCTTTCAGATGCAATTAAAAGTTTTATTAAAGTTTCCAAAGGCACTCTCAGAATGAGTTAACTCACATGTCATGGTCACTCGGCCCAGACAACCTTTGACATCTTGAGTCTAGCAGAGATACAGTGACTTAAGAGGATGCACAATGGCTCATTGTAGCAGAAGATGCAAACCTCGTTGTGTTGAAGGGAGCCCTCAAATCATTACTGCCCTCGTTAGCGTGCTGTCCGTTAAGGATTAATTTGTTAGCTTGTTCTTTTCTTTTTCCTTTTTCAAAAGCTTTTTTTAAAAAGTTTTTTGTAATTTTAATTCTTAAAGCAAAAAGTGATGTTGCTGTTATCATTATTATTTTGTGGAGAGAAGCATTTTTTGCTGCCAGAAAATGCATATTTTATGTGCTCCTAACTGGACTATGAGCCTCTTCCGTTCAGTTCACATAGATATCACGGTTTGTTGCTGGTTTTGTTTTAAAGAAGGACTGATGAGTGGAATTACAATGAAACAGACTCTGGCATTGTGTTGTTTGATATACTGAATCAAGTAAGTGGGAACATAAAATCTTACATATATACATGCATGCACCTCTCACACACAAGAAACTTCTCTACCGGATCAATTTTGTTGTCACTCTGAGAAGTTTAGGACTCCTGCGGATTTGGAAGACATGGAAAAGTGAACTACGGAAGGATTTCATTGTTCAGTTGGGCGGAATTGGTTGCTTGCATCCAAAGTTGTTTGGGGAATTATATTTGTTTTAACTTTTACTCATTAGAAAAAGTTTAACTGCCAGTCTCCAGGTATATGTTACATGCCGATGTTGGTTAAGCAGGGGAAGTCTAACTACTTTAATCAAACTACTAATTTTCCAATTAGATTTTCTGCCAGGAGAAAATGCAGAAAGGATGTTCATGGATGCTCTGAAATTGTCTGATTTTTAATTTGACTATTTAGCCTGATAAATTCTGAAATGTGAATGTTGAAACCGCACTGTTTTGGTATATGTATTTGACAGCACACTTTGATTTTACAGATATCAGTATACCTATTTGTTGCCTTGTTCTTCTGATAAGCGAGAGCTGCTTAAAATTTTCCCAATATTGTATCTTAAAAGATGGTCTTTCTTTTAAAAGCATGCCCAAGACTGTGTTATATCTCACTGATGATGCATATGATTTATCATTTTAAGTATAATACGTATAAAATAAAAGGCTGGAAACATTAAGCAATGCACTTGACAAGAAAATAAATAAGCTTTATTTCTAGACAGACTGTTTAGATAAAGCCTTATGGAAAGTTCTTAAACTTTTTTAAACACCACCTAATTTTATTCCCTAGAAGTACAGATGTAAAAAAAAATCACATTGTTAAAAGTTAATATAATAATAAAAAAATGAGAACTGTTAGGTTTTTTTCGTTTACACAAACTCTCCAGCTATGCAAGTTTTTGTGTAATAGACAGGTCCGTTTCAAGACCGGGATTCAATTATTGATACAAAAGTAGGCAATTTTAATGCCTCTACTATAACATCAACCATATTTTTCCCCTTAAATCCCAACGCATCTGTTAACTTCTTTTAATCAAAACTCTACTACACAGTTCATTTTAACACACAAAGACAAAAAGAAGCTTTGAAAGTTACCTCATGCATCGTCTGGCTGCACAAAACAATCTCAGCCACTGCCTACTGCTAAACTTCAGTTTGGTACTGCCAGCATACAAAGAGATGAGTGAATGCCCCCTTTCCACCCGCATGGACCCAGCTGCCAGCCGCGTGATATGCAATTTTGCTTTTTAATGAGTCGTAAACAATTTATGTATGTCAATGGAGCGAGTTTGTTTTATTTCAGGGAACAGGTTCAGAATCGGTTTGAAGTGGCTGCCGTCTCTACTGTAGGAGAGTATGCTGTCCAAATTTTAAAGGTTCTGTGTCATTTTGATGAAAAGACCTATTATAATGAAAGAAATGGCTGTTTTGTAAGGGTAGGCATAGTAATCTCCTATGCTGGGACTGAGTCTCTCTCTCTCTCTCTCTCTCTCTCTCTCTCTCTCTCTCTCTTACAGTTCTGGCGTGTTTTGTAGTTAGATAGTTTGTAGTTTAGTTGGATATCAGCTAAAATTGAAATGTTCTTCAGTGCTTGGACTTCTCTGCATGTGTATGTTTTCGAGAAAGAACTGCTTAAACTTTGTAATGCTGCTTTCTCATCACATCTTCAATACCATTATTAAAAACTGGTCTTTCTGTCTTTATCAGATAGAATGGTCAGGATGTTTAATTTCTTCTCTGGAATAATAATAATAATAAAAAAAAATCTAAGGAAACTACAACCTGAAAGTATTTGTAATATTTCCAGAGACTGTACTGCCAAGTAAATATGTTCAGCATCATCAGACATTTCCTGGTACTGTAAGCAAGACTCAGTACATGTGTATATTTAACAATAATTACATTTGTTGTGATGATTTGCAAGAAATCTTTTGAAATCTAACCTTGTCTACCTCATGCTTTAATCATGGCATTTGTGAAACAGGTATTAATTTAGGCTAACACTCAAATGACATCCTTAATTTAAAAACATCTGAAAATGAATTGGCACTCCAAAGATGACAAAGCTAAATCAAGCTGATTTTTTTTTTCTTTTAAGAGGGAAAAATACAATATCTAACAGGTATTTTAATATACTAAAATAAGTTTCCAAAAGTTATAAATCAGAGTGCATGTGCCATTTCTGATAGCCTTCTCAAGTTCTGTTTCATTCATACACATTATGCAGGTGATGAAAACACTAATAATTTGGAAACAGCATCATTTTGGATTTAGATGCTGAGAATGTTCAGATGTTTGATTGATGTAAAAAAAAGGAATAGATTGAGCCTGTATTTGACTGTTATGCTTGAGAACAAAGGAGGTATTTGTTGCATTTATGTCAATGTCATTAATAAAGAACTATTTTGAAAGAAACTCTTCACATGTATGCCTACAGATGATTAGCTATTAAAAATAATTCTTTGGAGCGGCAAACTGTATAGCCTAGACATCTTTTCACTATCAACCTACAAGATGCTTTTATCTGTGACCATTCAGCATTTAACAGTAATTTAGGGAACAAAGCTGCCAACAGGATTCCGCCAATATTAAGTTAGAACTGGGAATATAATACTGTGTTCTTTCCTAATTACTAATAATTTTAATCCTGGAAGCAATTACTAGCAATATGTATAACATCAGGCATTTAATTTCTTCCCCTTAGTTCCCCAATCATATTCTGGTTGCACTCATATTTATTCTTTGTTGTCACTGGAAGTTACTAAAATTGTCAGGATGATCTGTAATGCAATTCAGGGCATAACTACTGATTTAAAAATGTATCACTAACATGAACTCTAAATAATAAATTTAACAACTTGGTATGAAAGAATGCCATTAATGGCCAGAGCTTACAACTTCAGAAAACTTTGACAGATTGTACTTCACTGACTATATGTGTCTTTTGAAGGAAATATAATCAATATATCCGGGACAAAAAATATGATAAGCTTTTCATCTAATAGTTGATCTGCCTGCCTAACATTTTATCAAAAACATTTTGTTTTTCAATCAGGACAGCATAAATTTCTGAACACTTCCAAAAGTGTTTATCATTTGTAGCCCTTTCTGTCTCATCTTTTAGGAACATTAATACTCCACACTGTTAACTAATTTTTCACTGTTACACCATGCATGTTAGCTATTGCACAATGTATATTTTTCTCCCAGTAAACATCTTGTTCTTTTGTTGTACCATCCACTTATATTTCTAGATAGCTCTGCCTCTGTTTCGTTTCTGTCCTCTTCCTTCACCTGTCCTGAATATTGTTAGGAATGTTTCTAATTTAGAGGCAGTGGCTGATTAGAGGACAGGAAATTGGGGGATTAAACTGTCTGGTTGAACTTCCTTTACTTATCAGCGCTCAGTAACTTTAGTCTGGATTATGAACTCAACAACAGTTCCAGAGTTGATTTCGCTGTTGTATGTAATTTTTTCTTTCTTTAAAAAAATCAGAACTTTAAGCTGCTCGTGATTGTAAGTTATCATTGGTTAATTTCAGCCTTTGATAATAAGAGAAAAAAATTGGAATAATTTTAGACATAGAGGGCACTTTTTATTTACCCTTCAGAATGGGTCTCTGAGTGTGTGTGCACACACACTTACATAATGTAAACAATTGCTATTGAACCAAACATCAAATAATGTCATACTTTCTAAGAGAAACTGCATTATTTGATAAGAGGAAAAGGCATTATAACCATTATTAAAATCTGCTTTCCATAAGAAGCACTCAAAACCTTTGGTAATGCATTGATACAAATGTGTGGTCTATTAGCACAACAACTTTCCTAAGATATTAAAAGATTAATTTTCCAGATCATAGCTTAGTGTGAGAAGGAATTCACCTCATCTCGATTGTCCCAAAAACAATATTTTGGAAGCATGTCTTGTAAATGGTTCATAGAGAACAAATTTAGGCCTACAATAAGAAAATTCTTCTAATAAAAAGTATGATATCAATCTAGCAATGTTCTATAGGAACAACAAGATATTTGGGTATACTCTGTGATTTTTATGGATCTTAAAGTTTTTGGCTGTGTTTAATCAAAACCTTGAAAAAAACCCTGAACTAAATATTCAATAAAGCATATTTGTTCCTTCCCATCCTTAAGAGAAGGAGCCCCTTGTAGAATTTTCATGATGTCACTTTTAATAAACTTTACTTTTTTTGAAAATATTTATTGGCGCTCTAACTTGTTTTGTAGCAAAGATTTACATATTGTTTTACGTATTGTTTACATACAATATGTATAACATTATTTTAAAGCATGTTGGCTTCACTTGGTCCACTACAGGTGTAGAATGGAAACCTAATCTTGCTTCTGATTTCATTTTTTTAAAAAGAAAAAAGAAAAAGAGTCACTGACACAAGTATTTTTTAAAAAAATATAATTTGTATCAATAAAAAGTGTTTGCAAAATACAGTAGGGCATGGAGGGGGATTTATTTTTTTCTAAACAAAGGGGCTGGAAAAAGAAATAGATTCTCTTTTCTCCAGACATGGCAGTTTTGATCTGCATCAGACCATCACCTATTAACTCTAGGAAAAGGTATGCATAGGTATTTGCTACAAGCCATCATGATGAAAATGATGAAAATGATGAAATGGACACCCTGACCACGTGATGTGAACCCCAGCCTTTCAGATTTACACTCCAATGCTGGACACAAGTATATAAGTCAAGTTGTGTTAGGTTTATGTCCTGATGATAGGATATATGTGTTACTTTGCAAGAGAGGTAATCCCATAAATCTAACAAGTAATCTCATAACCTCTCAACCTCTTCTGGGTTTCTATATACTTAAACCAATCTATCTATAACATATAGTATATAATGTATTGTATAGTTTGTTCCTACATACAAGTAGTCCTCAACTTACAACTATAACTGAGCCCCAAATTTCTGTTCCTAAGCAAGACATTTATTAAGTGAGTTTTGCCCCATTTTACAACTTACAACTTAAGTCACTGCAGTTGTTAAGTTAGTAACATGGTTGTTAGGTGAATCTAGCTTCCCCATTGACTTTGCTTGTCAGAAGGTTATAAAAGTTTAGGGGTTAGGGTTAGGGTGACCCTGGGACACTGTAACTGTCATAAATATGAGTCAGTTACCAAGTGTCTGAATTCTGATCACATGACCATGGGAATGCTGCAATGGTCATAAATGTGAAAAATGGTCATAAGTCACTTTTTTCAGTGCTGTTGTAACTTAAACGTTCACTAAATGAACCATTATAAGTTGTGGACTATGTGTATCTTACGTTTCAGTGGTCTTGGGTTGGATTATATGTATACAGTGATAAGAAGAGAGTCAGGTTTACATCAATGCCCGCAGCCCTAATTTGGCAACTCAAGAAGCCCCTATACTGCTAATATTTGGTCTGGATTATTGATTTGCCATTTTCCCTTTTTAGAAACTAGAGTTAACAAGCCTATTTCCTCCCAAATCTATCTATCTATTCCATTCATAAGATTAAGCAGTTTGGTCCTGCCTGACCAGCATTTGACCCCTTGCCTATCCTTGCTACAAGGGTAGCCAAGAAATTTTGGACGCCCAGAGTTGACAGTGTGGAACTGATCATTCTAGCAGAGTCTGTTTTGCAGCGTTTCTCAATCTTGGCAACTTAAAAACATGTGGACTTCAACTCCCAGAATTCCATAGCCAGGAATCCACATGTCCACACATCTTAAAGTTGCCAAGGTTGAGAAACACTGCTTATTATTTATAGTTGCCAGTATTTACCACACCTTGAAACTAAAATAATGCTATATAAAGAATTTCCCAGATATCCCACTTTGATCAGATTTATTTTATTTGTAATTGAAAGTGCTTACTTATTTTAATTACTTGTCCACCACTAATGTTCTGGCCCATAACCATAGTAAAAAATTACTACCATTATTACTACACTTGAGATGAGGAGGATGCTATATAAATTAGCTGCCCAGATGTCCTACTTTAACCAGGATTGTCTCACCTTGTCCTGTAGTCATGGCATCCCAACCAATTTTTAAAAACTCCCCCCAGCCCCAGAAAGTAGAGAGCTCACAACTCACAATCTTTCACAACTTAGTTAATCTCCTTTCACCCACACAATTGAGCTTGTCCATACAACAGGGAACTCTTTGGAGAACATAGTTTAACCTACTGACAAAACTAGATCCTCTGCATAGGCAAAGGTGGTTCAAATTAGACAAGAATGCTAAAGCCCATGCTTCCCAGCTCAGTGCATGACTTTTCTCAATGTGCATGCTCTTTCGAAGCTGATCCATAAACAGAGAGCCATTACTAAAGTTATCAGGATTATTTGAAAGGTAGGTAGGTAGGTAGGTAG